CCTCCTTCTGAGGGGATCCATGACCCTGTGGCTGCTCCAGAGAGTCACGGTTACTGAAAGATTTCTTTCTTCTTCCAATTTCCTCCAGTTCTCATCTGTCTTCTGGGTCCTATATATTTTACTCCACCTTAAATGAAGAAGGGATGCTCTAAGATCTATTGTTGAGTGGACCATTATGATCCTTGATTTTGCTCACGAATCCGGGGGTTGATGAGGCTGAGCTGGGCCGTCCTTGCTTGGGGTCTGACAGTGGTATCAGACAGGCTGGGGCTGAGGTCTTCCTGATGTCTGGGCTAAAAAGACAGAAAGAAAGGTGGATGATAGATGCATCGGTGGGTAGACAGACAGAGCTAAGTAGAGAGAGAACATGCATACATACAAGCACCACGCTTACCAGGCGTTTTTGCATCTTCAAACAAGATTCCATGGAGAAGACACGTCTTGGCCAAAGGGAATGAATATGGAAATTCAGAGACCCAATGGAGGACCCAACGGAGGACTGTCCAGCCCCACCGAGAATCACCCAGAAAGAATGTTCTAGAGAAGTTCTCAGCCAGTCTGACACAGGAGAGGGAGTGAATCCCGGATTAACCAACGTTGACTGGACATTGCCCGGCGCTGCCTGTTCGTCTGACACCGGAAGGGATGGCCCTGACTCATCCCAGCTGCTCACGTATCCTGGACACCACACAGCATGGACCTGACCCAAGGGACTTGTCAGAACTGTGGGACCGGAAAGGCCGGGAGGGCAGGAGAGAGTCGGGCTGTCTTTGCTCCTTAAGTAGGTAAGTCACTCCCGGCTCCTGTGCACAGGGGAGAAGACCCCCCACACCGCCCCCAGCTGCCCCGCCTTCTCATGTGACCCCACCCACCCCCGCCCCTTGAGTCGCCCGTTGGAGTGGTAACACCACACCCCGCTTCCGTCTGGTCACGGGAATAGCGCACGCATGGTAACAGCAGCTCCGTGGCAGGTGGCCGGAGGTCTCCAGACAGCCCAGAGCCCCGCCGCTGTGCTGCTCCTCTCTACCAGGGTGACAGTCTTGCCTTTCTCTGCCTCCCACCTGAGTTTTCTCACCAACACATCTGCATACTGGCCCATGATGGGGAACATCTGAGCACAAAATGCAAAAATAGCTCTTGAAAGAGATGATTAGAAATAACATTAGAACATTTGTTAAGTCTAGGTGGTGCAGACGCGGGCATTTCCTGTACCGTCCTTCATAATTTTGTGTGTGTTTAAAATTTTTCATTATCAAAAAAGGACATTAGGTCAGTGAAAATTTGAAGGCAAGTAAATTATCTAAGAGCAGAAAAATTAAATGAGAACCCACACACTCAGCCATTAAAATTTATAATTTTAAAGACATGTCAAAAATATGAAAAATGCATATGACATAATATTAGATGAAAAGTGGAGACATGCTGATCCCAAATGCATAAAAATGTGTGTGCAAATGGAAAAAGACTTGGAATGCTCAAAAGCGATATTGCAATTATGAATAATTTCTCTGCCCTATTTTCTAAAATCTTCTTACTATTTTACAATTTTTAAAAGACAATATTATTTTTAACTATTAAAGAGAAGTCTTTTGTGACATTAAGGCTAAAAAATTTTGGAAGAAAAGGACAAAGCCTATAAAGGAATAAAGAAAGGAACATGTATAATTTATTTTTAATTAGTTTTTATTACTTATATTCTTGCTCTGTCACCTTAGCTAGACTGCAGTAGCATCATCATAGCTCACTGCAACCTCAAACTCCTGGACTCAAGCAATCCTCCTGCCTCAGCCTCCCAAGTAGGTGGGACTACGGGTGTGCACCACCACACCCAAAAATACTTCTATTTTTTGTAGAGACAGGATCTCGCTCTTGCTCAGGCTGGTCTCAAACCCCTGACCTCAAACAATACTCTGACCTCAGCCTTGAAAAGTACTGGGATTACAGGCGTGAGCCACCACACCCAGCCTCAGTACTTATATTTATTCATATAGGGATGGTGACATCCCCTCCCAGCAGGGCAAGCCCATTGTTGACACACATCACACAAAGCTGAGCCTCTGTATGGGACACATCCCAGTCAGGCCAGCTCTCCAGGCTGCCGGGATGCCCATGCATGGCAACAGGCCCTTGAATGAGGTCTACTGCAAGTTTAATTACACTGTTTGGCATTTTATTTTTCATTATAAATCATTTGCATTTGCTGAAACAAATTGGAAGGTTTTCCACAAGTCACGTATTCTTTGACTTCATGGAAGAATTTCAAATAGTTTCATGACCGCATATGAAAGTTGATGAGACGCACTGCCCACGTCCAAAAGTGTGCTGAAGCTCAGGGGGTGTAAGTGGGTGTCGGGTATTTGTAGGTTAAACCACTGACGGAAACCATGGAGTCCACACTTAGCTCTGAACCAGCATCACACTGATCATACTTCTTGAGTAAGCCCCCTCTTCCCATCATGTTTGCTCAAAAATATCTGGGTGGAGAATGGACAGTGTGAAATTGTGGCTAACAACACTGACAAATCGATCCTGGTGGCTTCTGCATCATTTTCTCCTTGGATTGCCAGGACGTTGCATGGTCTTAAGTCACTCCCAGTATTTCTTCAACCATCGGTTAAACTTCAAATTCCTGAGCCCCACCCTAGATCCTCCAGATTTGTTCTTTCCGGGACTGGGGATGCAAGAATCTGCATTTTAACAACCTCCCTCAGGTGGTCCTTATGTACACCCAAGCACAAGAACTATTTTCTAAAGGGGGAGCTGGGGCCCGTGATGATTAAGTGACTATGCCCCGCATTCACGAGAACTAAATGTCGCAGGGGCACTTGGAGTCGGGCCCATGCAGACCAGGTGCTGTGTGTCCTTTCAACTCAGTCACGTGGCCTTTACGAGCACTGCCAACTCAGCATGGCCCGGTGGTCAGCCCTGTGCTTTCTGAAGACTTAATAAGAAACGTGAAGAGGTACGAAGAGGCAAAGCCGCCTTCCGCTCGCTTTTAGCATGCGAACACACGACCGCAGCCCTTCCAGTCCCCACCAAACCTGCAGCAGCTCTGAAAGCGAACAGCTGCTGCAGTTGGCTGAGGCCACCCTGCAAAATCCTAAAGTCCATCAGCCCACCGGGACTCGGTGGTTTAGATTACCCTACTTCTCGTCCTCAAAGGCAGCAGAATGGAGTAGGCAAAGAAATACTTGTATGTTGTACAAACCTCTATTGAAACGCCATGGCTTACATTTCAAAAAAGAAAAAAAAAAAAAAAACTCCATGCTTGCATAAAAAGCAAAGCCTAAATGCCTCCTCAATCTGTTTACCTCTATACCCTAGTCCTTCTTCCAAAAGTACATATTAAATCCAAAATTTAAATAAAGGATTTTTGGCTTTTAATTAAAAGTGACACCATCTGGGAAAGAGATAATGCCGTGCATTGATGAGCGCATATTAGAAAGGTCTGAAGTAATGCATTTTTCTGCAATTAAAGGGGACTTAAGTAAGGGGAAATGGAGAAGAAGAAATAGCCAGACACTGGACGGAAAGCAAGACTGGCAGTCCCTGGGCCCTCAGAGCCTGGAGAAAAGTGATAACCTGCAATGTTCTCAGCCTAATCCAGTCTGCAGACCCCAACACCTAGAGACATCTGGGATCCTTGGTATAATGAGCATCCGAAACCTTTACAATAGACAGCTTCGTCCCAAGAGGCTCTGGGCCGATTGTCCTGCACTCAGTGGAGTACGTCTTCATAGCAGCAAGTCTATGCGATGGAACCTTCCAGAAAACTCACCCCCACATTTCCCCATACTTTTTATAACATTTCATGTCAAAATACCAAACACCCTGGAAAAGGAAACAAAACAAAACAAAATTTGATTATTATTATTTAAATATACTGACCCCCACCCCTCGTTGGGACAGAAATGGCTCCGATCTGCGATCTGATGGAATCAGGATTCCTATGAAACACAGCAGCTAGAGGGAGGCTTTTATTCAGAGACATCTCATGGGAAAGGAGTGAAAATAGAGGAGAAATTGGAAATGGAGGATTTAAAGTCTGTCTCGAATATTCTCTGAGTTCCATCGATACAGAATGCCTTAACCTTGTCTGTGAATACGAAGTTACTCCTTGTCTCTCTGAAGTGTTTTTGCTCGTGCATGTGCCATTTCCAACGTCTCCTACCTTTCTGAATCGCCCCTCCCTGGACACCGGAGGAAACCAAGGCTGCGGGAAGTGTCTCCAGGGTCACATGTTCTTTCCTGTCCTCCTTCAGTGTCCTCTCCGCGTTCCTCATGAGCCCTCCCTAGAATCCCAGTGGAATTGGGAAGTGGAAGACACCAGGGACCTCCCTGGGTCTGGCAGGTGTACATAGGTCCAAGGCCTGTCGCTGAGTGAGGAAATGAGCTAGCGAACGACAAAACGAACTCACCTCTAGTTGTCCGGTTCAACTCAGAGAAGATCGGAAATGCCACCTCTACGCACGGGACACGGCGAGTCACAGCGCGTGCTCCGAGTTTCCACTTCTGAAGCTTAAATACGAATCTTCCTGCTGCTAAGTTGCAGTTGTGATGTCTTAACTGTGCAAAAGACAGTCCCAGGAATGTGGGTCTTGGGGTACATCTATTAAAGAATTGATCTGGGAACGGTGAAGAGGAAATCATCGCTTTTTCGGAAGAAAAAAAGTATGGAATTCTTAGGCAGTAATTAGGCAAGGAAGGCCTCAGTGGGGAGAATCAGAACCCAAGGAACAAGCCTCAGGAGTGTGGGGACAGAGGGCGGGGCCCACAGCACCTGCCACAGGCTTTGCTGCCGGCCGCGTGGGCGTGAACGCGTGACTTTCCGCCCAGGTGTCAGGCCCTGGTGAGGCATCAGACGGGCTAGCCACAAAGGCCAAAGGTCACGGGCAGTGGGACACACATTCCATTCCATTCAGTTAAATCACACGTTTGATAATTTTGTCAAAGCTTCCCCTTTCTGGTGATTTTTTTTTTAAGTGATTCTGCCTTTGTGTAAAAAAAAAAAAAAAGACTCATTTTGTGGTTAAATATCCGAAGACAACCACCGTCTTGTCTCGGTTATACCCACTCCCCACTCAGACTCACCCAGGGGTGCCGCCCTTGAGGGAAAAGAAGCAAAGCAGAACTTTCTTACGATGTCTCTCGAATCCCCGAAAGGAGCAAACGCCGGGGTGCCGCTGTGGAAGTGCCATCAGGGAGTTTAGCAGTTCTTGAGAGAATTCAAGCAGGTGCAAATTTCCGGACGGTGGGTACCTGGGCTGCCTGTAAACTGAAGTTGCAAAGCCGTTCAGCAGAATGGAAGAAAGGGTTCCCCTTGTTGTGGTGCACACAGCTTAACGAGCCGCACCCGGCCCCGTCCTGCTTTCTCCTAAGTACAATGTGCCCCCTGCCACCCTGCACCAGGGAGGACATCCTCTTTGCGGTGCTCACAAAGTCTGAAGATCAAGCTGGAACATCGTCGAGCCCTGATCTGCCAGAGATCCAGGCTGTTCCACTGAGGCACAGCCAAGGCCCCTAGAGTAGACGGCAGGGCCTGGGGTGAACCTGGCGGGCTCTGGGTGGGGCCTGCCCCCCGTTCCTGTGGGTGGGGAAACTCAGGACCACCTCACAAGCAGGGGCGCTTCACTGGTGGGGCTGAGCTGGTGTTTGCAACCACGGAAGCGAAAGAGGGAGTTCAAAGGACCCTCGCCTGCAACAGGTCACAAAGGGTAAGGGTGTGGGCCCCGGACTTCCCAGCTTCTAAAGCATCCACATGAACAGGTCCCGTATCTGTAAAGGGGACGAGAAAGCCAGGTCACAGGGCTTGTGACTTTACAGATCTGGGGGCTGCCAGTCACTGAGGCAGGACCTGGAACAGTAGGGAGAGGGAGGTCACGTGCAGGGTGCAGGCAGGAAATGACAACAGCAGCGACTCCAACCGCAATAGTGACACTCATCAGCTCCTTCCCGCCTCCTCTGTCACAGTGATGAGCTAATGGCTTGTGGTCTCAATTCTGGAGTGGACACTTGACAAATGTCCCCAGATTTGAGTGCACCTGAGAGGGTCGGGCTGGGATTCTTCCAGGGCACTTCACTCACTCATGTCCATCAGTGAGGTGGCCCTTCCCTGACTTCGGGACTCTCACACTAGGTATGCAGAGGTGAGGGTCTCCCCTGCGGGGGTTGATTACACGTGTCAAGGGGGCCAGGCTGGATGTCGCTGTGAAGGCATTTTGCAGAAGGGATTAGATTTAAATCACTAGACTTTGAGTAAAGCAGGTTACCCCATCCAATCTGTTGGTGGCCTTAAGTGAAACAACCAAGGTCCGCAAGGAAGAAGGAATTCTGCCTCCAGGCTGCCTTCAGATCAAGACGGGAACGTCCGCTCTTCCCGGGCCTGCAGCCTGCTGGCCTGTCCTGCAGACTTCAGACTCACCGACCCCTGCAGTCATGTGAGCCAGTTCCTTAAAATAAATCAATCTCTCTCTCTCTCTCCCACACACACCCTCCCCCCATATTATTGGTTCTGTTTCTCTGGAGAACCCTAATACAGCTCTGATGATGAGATTTTGTGCAATTGCACCTGTCCCATCGCAGAGGGTCACCAAGAGCTGCCACCACATTGTCCTGACAGCTCACTGTCTTTTATGCATTTCCTTCCCTAATCCTGTTTTAGGATATGGCCTTTCTTACATCTGCTTTCACCATGAGGCCTCAGAATAGCCAGTGTTCTCGTTTCTCTAGAACGAAAACCATGTTTAAGGCTTCCGCTGGCCTAGTAGCAACGTGAGCACCTTTCAGCCGCCACCCCCCCCCAGTCTCCGTGGTCAGATGACCTGGCTGGTTTGAGCCATAGGGAGGGACGAGTGACCCACATGTTCCCTGAATGACACTGTGCAGAGGAACCAACAACTGGAGAATCCATATTGAGGCCACGTCTCCCCCGTGGCATCTGGCCCTTCCACTGGTGATACTCCGCTGAGAATCTCAAGCCAGGCACGCCCGTGTCTGTCAACGTAGCCAGTCACCGAGCTGCCAGTTTGCCACCTCTGCAAATCTGCAGGAAAACCCACGAACGCCAGTGCTTTGTGTGACACCTGACATCTTTGCTGTGTCATGTACGGACTCCCCCACCTGGGGGTTCTGGATCCCTGCAGAGCTTCCCACGCGAGTGCCACTGAGGGGTGGCAGATGGGAGGGAGAAGCCAAGCTGGGGGAAGCAGCCGCCAGTTTAACCCTGAAGCTGCCCGGCCCACAAGGATGGCCCCATACAGGCAAGTGGGGAAGGTGTGGCTGAAAAGCGGGTGTGTACAAATGGTTCCACATGCCCCACAGGCGCCCTCAGCTAAAAGACAGGGGCCCTCCAAAGTTCAAGTACCTCCCGGACGAGGAAGAGAATGAGGATGGCGGTTGGACTGGGCCTATCTGCCTTGCGCCACGGAGCAGACGCACTCTGCAAGGGTCCCTGCGGGCACATCGCCCTGTGGCACACACCGTTCATTTCTTTCCACCCTGTCGCAGCTGGCGGGGCCCAGGTCCCTGCCTTCACGGACTTGAGTGACACTGACTCTCGTGTGTCTCCGGCATCTCCAGCGGAGGGTCCTAGCGCAGACTTTCTGCCTCACGGAGAGGCTCTGGGGGACCGGCCGGCACTTGCGGACGCCGCAGGTAAGTTACGAGGCACTGAAAGATGACAATTCTAAGAAGGAAGCTGAACGAGGTTCACAGCTTCTCTGAAACTCAACCAGAAATGGTGAGGGCATTTGAGCAGAAATTAGAAGCAAAAAAGACCACGGAGGAGAGGGACTTCCATGACCTGGGGTGGGTGATTCAGCAGGTGGAGCAAAACCTGGAGCTCATGACAAAACAGGCTGTAAAGGCAGAAAATCACGGCACGAAACCGAGGCAGGAAGTAAACTTGCTCCAGGCGCAGGTCTCCGACTTCAAACGCGAGAACGAAGCGCCAGGGCCGGCCAGGGCGCCAGCCCGGCTGTGCCGGAGCAGATCACCGACGTGGCCTTGCCGAACCTCCGCGTCCTCAGGAGCAGCGCACAGGCTTCCACGAAGCAGCTGGTTTCCGGAGCCGGAACGTTGAATCTTGTTGCTGAGATCCTTAAATGCATAGACAGAATTCCTGAAATTAAAGACGAGGAGGAGGACTCTTGAGAAGCTCTGCGAGCTGTCCGCTTGAAGCTCCGTGCACATCCTGAGGTCACTCCCACTTCGTCTGCATGTGCAGTCTTCACCCAGAGGAAAGTAGTTATCACAAGATACTAATTTCATGACCTAGAACAGTATTATGGGCCACCCACCAAAGGACCCGATCCTGTCTGGGAGTCCAGGCTACAATTTACATGCAGTCCTTCTTGGTGAAATTCCTGCTATTTTATAGATTCTGTTGATCTATTGGAAGGAATCTTTATAAAAGTCAGTGATTTTTTTTAATTGCTAAACATGAAAACAGCAATTCTGTAAACAAAAAAAAATGGACCCTGCCCAACAAATATTGGGGATCTGTATTCTGAACATCAGTTGCTGCTTCTTCCCACTCTATAAGTCCCCAGAGTGGCTCAACACGGGCTGAGTAGGGGGACATCTCATTAGGAAAATGTATCAAGCCGCAGCTATCTCACCTACCTCCTTATCTTTACTTGAGAGCTATGGAGCAGCCTGAAATGTCTACCATGATAGTTTGTCACCTTTGGATTAGCGTTTGCATCAAGAGACCCCTGTTAACATCCATAGTTACCCCTGTAAGGTGTAATGCACAAATTCATCTATTCATCCATGTACTGCTTCAAGGCCAAGTGGGTGAATGTCACGAGCAGGTGTTGTGCCAGGACTGGCCTGGAAGCCACAGGGTCCCCTTCCTCGGGAGCCACCTCCCAATGGGGAGAGAGACTCATGAACGTGCGGGGATGGCGATTTGCATGCCATCTGGAGTCTCTGGGAGAACAGAGCCCTACAGAGAGGTGAGGAAGAGAAGGGGCAGCAAGCTTGACTATCAACCAAGGACAGACACGGGGAGCTGGGAGACGATCCCCGGGACAAGTAGGATAAAGTCCACGGAATTCTGATATGTCTTTGCCTCCTTTTTGGCTTCCCTGAGCTCTGTTACATAGGGTCATGCCGCTGTCCCCGGTCTACAGGTGTGCAAACCGAGCCTCCGTGACTGCAAGTGGCTTCCCAACAGCTATTGATCACAGCAAAATATTAGATATACAGCCAACACGAAGGGAGGTGAAGAGTCCTCCGCTGCTCTGTACATCAGTATGCGACACCTGCTGCTCCCTGATAAGGCTCACTGTGGGAGGTGGCGCGACTCAGGAATGAAACAGCAGATCGGTTGAGATTCTTGTTCCAGGCTCAGCGGTTACTCCCCGCAGCTCCCCCGCGGGTCTGCCAGAGCAAAGGTCTCCATCTCGGCCGGCAGGGAGAGGGAAAGATGCGAGTTCTGACCATATCGGCGGTGCTGTTGGGAGGCCCGCAGATTACATTCGGACGAGGAAAGGTTACAGTGTCATCTGATAACTATCCACAACTTCATTAGCTCACCTAAACCCAAAGCCTTTCTTATTCTTTTTGGAAACAAAACCCCTGTGGAATCTAATATGTTTTCATCTTCCTCCAAAACACATACGTGGCTAAGATGATTTTAGAACTAAGGCTAAATATGACCATCCACCCGCCCGACTCACGGGGTCCAGTTGTTGGACTCTATGCCAACAGCAGTAGGCTGGCCACTGCAGGGGACCAACCTGCAGCCAGCACCATGTCCTAACCAGTGCAGACGCTCTTGTTCTGCAAGAGGAAATGATAGAAGGCATGTTCTTTGTGTCCCTTAATTCCACAGAAAGTAACACCTGTAACATGAAGAGGTTTGCACGCTAAGAGCTGTGCTAAACATGACAAGGGAGACACTATGTGTCTGTCATGTACTCACTCCTGTATCAAAGCACACATCTGTGTCAGTGCACAGGTTGTCCAGGGACTCAGTGATGCCAGGGAGGCCATCACGCTAATATTTCTGTCCTTTTATATCGTTAGCCCCAGCAGTACCTTTTCTGGGAAGCCGCCCTGACTTCCACTGGCCAAGCAAGTTGTTCCTGGCATGGCAAGCAGCGTTGCTCTGGAATAATCGGTGTATTAGATTCAAATTTCATGGGCCACCATCCTGAGTGTGCACAAAATCAAAAGCAAGATTGTTTGTCTATAACTCAGCTTCCAAGTCCCCATTCTTCTTAGCAGAGCAAAACTTGATGACAATTTGGGGTGGTTGGGGGGTGGTATCTAAGTGTTGGGGGGGAGGGGTGAAGCAGCTCTTCTGGGTCTCACGATTAGGGGCATCTGCAGCAAGGACAGTGGCCAGTCCATGGATGTCCTCTCTTGGCATTGGGGGGGAGGCACCTCACCCGATGTCACCTCACGTTGGTTTCGGTTGGGCTGCGTGCCTGCTGTGTTCAGGCTCCGTGCCATGCACTAAGTAGGTAGTGAGATAAGTAGTGTCGGATTGTTTTAATTCTCACTTTGCAGACGTAGAAACAGAAGCTCAGGGTGGGGAAGAGACTCGCCCAAGCAATGAAACCATGAAGCCAGGGCCCGGAGCCAGATCTCGTCATCCCAACTTGTGCCAGTGGCACGCTGGTCCGGATGCCAAGGGGCCTCCTGAAATAACTTAGCAGGTCGTGTCAGCCTCGCAGGGGGCAAATATTTCCTTTCACACCTCCCAAAACATTCCCAGTGTGGTCACAAAATGTTGCAGTGCTGGTCGTGACCACAGAAACAGCACACCTGCCTGTTGCTAAATTGCATATTCTGCGAACTCAAGGTATCAGCAGGAAGGAGGGTGTCCAGACAGTTCCGACATGTCACAATCAGGATCGTCTGGGTTGCCAGGAGAGCCAAAAGCAAAAGGTGATGATAGAATTGAGTGGAAGAGAAATCACAGAGTGTAAGGCGGATCTCAGAAGAACATGCGGAAGGCAATTAGTGAAACAAGAAATGTAAGGTGAACATCTCAGGGTGTGTTGCAAGAACAAGGCAGAGCCTTCTCCCTCTCACCTCCTAACGGTTGCAGCGACCTTTGGCTGGGCACCTTGCCACTCCCTCAGTCATCTCAGCCGCCATGACATCATGGAACTGTCGCCCTGAATAGGACAGCAACCCTAGTAAACTGCCAGGCACTAGACCCTGCTTCTCGCTGGTTCTGCTGCTTCTGTGACCCTGTCTACTTCCGTGACCACTGCCTTCACCCAGTTTCTCTGTGTGTCTCCTGGCCAAGGGCCCCGAGGGAGAGGCTGGTCACTGTTGTGAGTTGAGCTGTGGTCCCTACAAAGACAATTTGAAGTCCAGACCCCTGGTACCTAGCAAGGTGGCCTTATTTGGAAATAGGGTGTTGGCAGATGCAGTTAAGATGTGAGTTAAGGGCACACTGGAATAAGATGGACCTTTAATCCCATATGACTCGTGTGCACACAGGAAGAGAAGAAGAGACCCAGGGACGGACACGCACAGGGGAGGAGCCACGTGAAGACACAGACACAGAGGGGAGGCGTGGGGGGAAGGAGGCGGAGATTGCAGTGGTGCAGCCACAAGCCCAGGGATGCCAGGGCTTGCTCGCAACCCCCAGAAGCTAGGAGAGAAGCATGGAAAGCATCCTCCCTCTGACCCAGAAGGAAGAAGGAACCAACGTGGCTAACACTTTGATTTTGGATTTCTGGCCTCTGAAACTAAGAGGGAATAAATTTCAGGGTTTTTTAACCTAGCACATTCGTGGTACTTCGTCCGGGCAGCCCTGGGGAACCAATACAGACACCACCAACTCAGACACATCACAGGCTCTGATCTCCTGTAGCATGAAGATCAAAACAATCATAACACATTCCTTACAAGGCTACTGTCAAGAGTAAACAAGCAAATGCATCACCAAGGTTTAGCCCAGTGACTGTCACTGATTAGGTGACAGTAGTGACAGTCAACGAAGGTAAGCAGGAAGGTTAGCTGACATCATCGCTGACATCATCATCATCCTCATCATTGTTGATGGCTTCCTTGGGCCAAGCAGTGATTTGAGGTCCCAGCAGAAGCCAGAGGTGCAAGTCCCCATGACACACAGCAGGACGATGTGTGTGAAAACAGCCTCCGCTGCCACTTTCCCACATAAAGTTAATGAGCTCATTGTATCGTCAGGGCCTCAGAGTGGCTTCGAGAAGCAATTGACCTAGAATCCCGCAATCAGTGCCAATAGTGCAGCAACGCCTATACCAACACCAGCAGCTGTGTGAGTCCCCGCCTGATGCTAACAGGAAATGGTCAACACCGGCCCCACCACTCAGATGGGCAGCTCGTGCAGTCCCACGGGGGCAGTTCATGGCTAAGTCACATGGTGCATCCCCGAGGGGCAGAAATCTCCCAGGTCAAAGTAATCTCTGCCTTATCCATTATGTTGCTCGGTGTCCCTGTGTGACAGCCGCCTGAAAAATTCCTTG